TGAGAAGGTCATTACGATTGCATGGCAATAAACGCAGCTCGATTCTGTGCCTGAACGAAGATTTTGCAACTTTGGAATTTTTGGGGAGAATATGGAATTTCGGCGACATAATTTGCAGTCGGCTTTGTGTGCAGAATCTGATCGTTCATCACGTACGGGGTTTAGGTCAGTGATAGACCGAGACCTTACACACACGATGAATTGGTCTCAAGATGATCAGACTCACGAGCGACGTGATCTGGTCGCTTGAGCGAGGCACGACGCTACTGAATTTCCTTCACTTTCTTCACGGATCAGCAACTTCGCTCTGGCTTTTCTTCACGCTCGGGTGTCGTCATGGGTCGTGCCACATATCGAATCGCTCATCTTGACTAGACGAACATGCTCACCAAATTTGAGAGCGATCCAACATGGGATGGTTGAGATATGAGCATCAAAAGTCACTAATTGTGACTGTCCCTTCAATGGTGTGGAGTTGCAGGGTGGCTGCACGGGAATATCGTGCGAGCCCTCCTGTTTCACCCGTTTGCCTATAACTTCTTCCTGGAGTATCTGTTCAGGCTGAAATTTGACCCCTAGGAGTTTTCAATCGTGTTGGATCCAATGGTAGTGGTCTCATAGTGATTTGAGATACCACAAATGTAGCTCTAATTATAGGGGCCATTTCAGGGTGCTAGAGGTCGATTCTGCTGGAACTGTTTTTGAATCTGTAGTGCCTTAGACACGTCAGACTATGACGAAACTTGGCAGGAGAATTTTGAGAGACCTTATGAAGATCTTGGATGATTTTAGGGCTATTCTGAGACCACCGAAATTTCCACTGTTTGCTAGGTTTTATTGAGTAAGGCCCCATATTGATGATAAATACCTTCCAGCACACACGTTCAGTAAGGGTGATTACATTAAAAGCATCTCCCAAAGGTCCAAGTAGGGTGAAGACCTAAAAGATCCACTGCGCATGTCCAATTCCGGTGATGACGCTTAAAGCTACCCAGATTGGTCCAATCTGAGTGATGACCTTAAAAGCTCTCCCCATCCTCTTGTCTCTGACTGTTCTAGCCCCTCTTCCACTTCTGCTAACACATATTCTACAAGTACGACACGTAAATGCCTAGATTTTGAAGCTCTTAACGAAGAGCTGAGAAGTTGCAACACTAGCAGACACCATTGGAGGCAGCTGAATAAGACGGTGGCCCAACCAGTCAGTTTCTTGTCAGTTGCTGATGCTCTGACATCCAGAGCTAATGCAAAGCCTCCTCTCACCATCGAGAAGCTTCCCAAGCAGCGCAAGAATCCCAAGCCCAAGAGACTCCAATGGCCTCTTGAACCCGACTTTGAGCAACGATTGAAAGAGTCGATAGGATAGAGCTCCCATTCTCACGAAGCCTTCCACACGGTGTAGATCTTTGGGGCAGCAACCAATGATGACCCAATTGGTCTGAGGTCAAGTAGGAAGTTGTAGCTGCCCTTCTAGAAGCCTCAGCAGCACAGACTCCAGAATACTCCTGGTCCGTCACTCCTTCCATTCCCTAACACCCAAGCCAGTTTACCACCACTCCTCAAATGTCCAAGACCACCACTGGTTCCATACACCAATCCGCTTCCAAACCCTCAATCTTCATCTAGCCAGTCCATACTGGGCTTGGCTCCATCATCAGACCAGTCGACACCAAGTCTGGTGGCACAACCTTCACCATCCCAAACCTCACAACCTCCTCAAACCAACCCAGTTGCACAACAAAGTCGGTCAGTACCCCAAAACAATCCTCCACTATCTAAACCTACCTATCAGTCTTCCATACTACCCGGACTTGTGGCAGGTCTAGAAGATCAAAAAGCTGATGATGACAATGACAAGTATAAAGTAGTGATTGTCTCTATGATCACCGAAACAGAGCCCTCTCCTCATACTTTCCGAGCCCTGCGCTTCTCGGTTGACCCCAGTGCCTGGTAATTTGGCTTGTACGCTCCCTCTCCTTGAAGCAGACCCTTCCTCGGTCACACAAGAAGCTAATGCGATTATCATGTTTCATATCATCAAATCCTCATTCGAGGAGGAGATGTCAGGAGCATGGGTACTTGTATTCGAGGTTAATGAAGAGCCCTCGGGATCACCAACTGAGGACGAGATAGAGATCCAAGAAGCCCCCAAAGAGTTGAAGGAAGGTGGGCAAGCCACAGTCAATGATCTCGAGGAGATAAACTTAGGAGATGAAGCAGATCAAAGGCCGACTTCATTTCGGCCAAGTTGTCACTGAAAGAGAAAGAAGGTTATACTGCTTTCATGAATGCAAATCGAGATGTCTTTTCCTGGTATTACCACGAGATTCTCGGTCTTAATCCCCAAAATGTGGTGCATCAACTTGGCATTGATCCATCTTTCAACGTTATGAAAAAAAAGTCCAGAAGATTTCGGTCCGACCTCGAAATGCAGATCGATACCGAAGTAAAAAAACTCAGGGAAGCAGGCTTTATTCGAGAAGACAAATACCCAAAATGGCTCGCAACCATTATTCCAGTTAAAAAGAAGAATGGGCAAATCAAGGTCTGCATTGACTTCAACGAATTGAATGCTACCTGTCCGAAAGATGACTTCCCGTTGCCATTCATGTAAATGCGTATTGACTCTACAAGACATTATCTAATTTTTTATTTCATGGATGGATTCTCAGGGTATAATCAGATAAGATGGTGGTAGAGGATGAGGAGGCCACCACCTTCCTGACTCCTAAAGGGGTCTTTTGCTACACAATGATGCCGTTCGGATTGAAGAATTTTGGTGCCACGTATCAGCGGGCAATGACCACCAGTTTTAAAGATGTGTTGCACAAGGAAGGGGAATGTTACATTGACGAGTTGGTGCTAAAATCTAAGAGCAAGAAAGTTCATATGCGTGACCTTGAACGAGTGTTCAAGCGGCTTCGCTAACACCAACTCAAAATGAACCCCTTGAAGTGTGCCTTCGGTGTACAATCAAGAAAATTCATGGGGTTCGTTATCAGGTATCGAGGGTTGGAAATCGAAATGGTCAAGATCAAGGCGATCAGAGAAATGCCATCTCCAACAACACTACGAGAGTTCCGGTCTCTACAGGACCAGCTTTCCTATATCCGAAGATTCATCTCCAATCTCTCAGGTCGTTGTATGCCTTTACACACCTATTGAAGAAAGATTCTCCTTTCACATGGGATGGAGGATTTTAGGCAGCCTTGGAGGATAACAAGGAATCTTTGCTAAATCCTCTGGTACTCTCTGTCCTAGTATTGGGATGGCCTCTCATTTTGTATGTGACCGCTCTTGATGAGTCACTTGGTGCACTCTTAGTACCAAATAATGAGGGGGGAAAAGAAACTGCCCTATACTATCTCAGTCGTAGCATGCACGGAGCTGAGAAAAATTATCCACCAATCAAGAAGATGTGCCTGGCTTTGATCTTTGCGGTCCAAAAGCTTCACCATTATTTGCTTTGCCACGAAGTCCAGCTCATTTCAAGAGCTGATCCCATCAAGTTCCTTATGACGTGCCTCTGCCTGTCAGGGCGGCTGGCAAATGATCATTGCTACTGATGGAATTCAACATCACGTACGTACCACAAAAAAAGCATCAAAGGCCAAGCCTTAGATGACTTTTTAGCCACACCCCCCCTACCAGCAGAATCCCCCCTGTCAAGTGATCTCCCTGATGAAGAGGTGTTTTGCGTCTAGCGACCTTATAATTGGAAGATGTATTTCAATGGGCCCTTTCAGTCTGAATGAGGTGGTGCTAGCGTGGTGTTCGTGACTCCTCGAAATGGTGTTATCCCCTTATCCTTCTCTCTCACAAAGACAAACTCGCACAGTGAGGCCAACTATCAAGCTCTCATAATTGGGCTTGAGATTGCCTTAGACATGAACTTGGAGCGGCTGGCCATTTTCGATGATTCTGAGCTAGTAATAGGACAACTTAAAGGAATATACGATGTGAGAAAGGACAACATTAAGCCCTATCATGACACCGCTAAAACCTTGATGTCAAATCTCGATGACCTCTCCTTATAACACATTTCCAGAAGGCTGAATTCCCATGCTGATGCCATAGCCAAGCTTGGAGCCACCATCTAGTCTCACTAAAGGAATCCATACCCATATGGGTAGCAGAATGGAGATATGTCCGAATAGGCCAAGAATTAGATGGGGACAACAAAAGGATTCTCTTCCCAGAATGTCCTAATTACCCGTTCGAGGCACTCCTTGCTGCTAAGGATGCTCTCAAAGCCAAAAAAGTGGTGGATTGGGCTGAGAAAAGGGTGGAAGAGACCTTTTATCCGATATGCGCCAAGATTGAATAGGTTGAAAATTGGAGGGAACCTATAATCAACTTCATTAAACATGGTCAGCTACCGGACGATCATGTTGAGCACAATAGCGTACGAAGAATGTCTATTAAATACACTCTTCTTGAAAGTGATGCTCTCTTCCGACGTTCATTCAATGGAATCCTTCTCAGATGTATTGGTTCAAAGGGGGTAGAATGCGTATTAAAAGAAGTGCATGCCTGGATCTGCGGACTCCACCAGTCAGGACCCAAACTCTACGAGCAGATACGTAGGCTCGGGTACTACTGGCCATCAATGGTCGAAGACTCGATAGCATGCGCCAAGAGATGTCAAGTGTGACAAATGCATTTGAATCTCATTCACCAACCACCGGAGCTTCTACATCCTACGGTGATGTCATGGCCTTTCTCACATTTGGGGGATGAACATTGTCAGACCCGTCGACCCTCCGTCAGCATTGTGCCACACCTTCATCTTGATCGCTACGGATTACTTCTCCAAATGGGCTGAGGCCATCCCCCTCAGGAGTGTCCTCAGGACAGTAGTGGCCAACTTTGTACGTAATCACATCATTTATCAGTTCGGTGCGCCCGACCATATCACGTCAGATAGTGATCCTTAGTTCAGAATCCAGAACATCGATCACTTGGTTAACCAGTTTTGTTTCGAGTGGAACTACTCCACTATGTACCACCCTAGGGCAAATGGTTTGGTCGAAGCTTTCAACAAGACTCTTTACAGTGTTTTGGGGAAGTCAGTGTCCAGAACAAAGAAAAATTGGCACAAGAAGCTTCTCGAGTCCTTGTGGGCTTATCGCACCACCAGCCGAAGTGCTACTGACTCTACTCCCTATTCATTGGTCTATGGGAGTGAAGCAATACTACCCCTTGAGATTCAACTCCCTTCGCTGCACATCACCGTATATCATAATATGATCGAAGATGAACAGGTTATGCTTCGCTATCAAGAGCTAGACGCCCTTGATGAGAAGAGATTCAAGGCCCAACTGAACCTTGAACTCCACCAGGGGAGGATGAAGAGTGCTTTTGACACATCAGTCAAAGTCTGCTCATTCACTATTGGTGATTTAGTTCTAACAGTAAAACCACCAATTGTTATGCATGGGCGATGCAAGGGGAAGTTCGAGCCAAAGTGAGATGGTCCTTTTGTAATTAAGAAGGCCTCGCCGAATGGAGGTTATATACTGGCTAATCCCGATGGGTAAGAAGCAATGCCCCTATCAACGGGCGCTACCTGAAGAAGTACTACCCATGATTTATGACCACACCATCCTCTTGGTCTCGAAGGTAAGACCCTAAAAACATGCTCTCAGGTCTTAGTGTATGACCATAAAATACACCATCTCTATGGTCTAGGAGGCGTGACCCTAAAAGTGCCTCCTTAAAAAAAAAAAAAAGGAGAGTCGGGCGTGATGAAAACCAGAAAGGGCGCCATGAGAAAAAATGTCCAAAAAAAAAACAGAGAGGGAGAAACGACAAGTAAGGGTAGCGACGTTCTCTATCATGAGTAAAAATGTCAAAAAAAAAAAGACATGGTGAAAACCCGATAGGACATCATGTGTAAAAAGACAATCGACGTGAACAAGCAGAAGTTTCCATTTGATTAAAAAGAAGTTACAATTTACGAGTATGAAATCTCGAAGAACTTAAAAAGTAAAATGATCGTCAGCATTGCTCTTGCATCTGAGGAAAAGAGAACAATTGATCATCAGCGTTGCTCTTGCATCTGAGGAAAAGAGAATTGTTGATCATCAGCGTTGCTTTTGCATCTAAGGAAAAGAAAAAAGTTGATCAGCATTGCTCTTGCTTCTAAGGAAAAGAGAGTGGTTGATCGCCAGTGTTGCTCTCAAATCAAAGGAAATATAAAAGAAAAGGGCTTTAGATCGAGTATATCAAATGACCAAAACAGACCCCCTTATAAGGAACCGCCCTAAGATGGAGAGAAACGGACCTATGATGGAAAACATGCCCTGATCATAATAGGTACACTTCCACATAACAACATGGAGTTCAAAATTGTGCTTGAGGACTAGACTTCTAACAGACATTGTGAGCCAGAATAAGTTTCCTTTGACCGACCCAACACCCATGAGAATGTCAGCCTTTAGCAAATTTCCCCTGAGACCTCGACATACTGCAAGACCTTCAAGCCATCACACATGCCTCTTAAAGCACACGCCGCTATGCACGTAGCTGGTTAAGTGCCTCGATCTCACCCTCTGGATCTAAGTGATCTGGCGCATGTGTCTCAGGTTTCAGGGGAACCTGAGACTTGAGATCGCTCTCTCGGGTACCATGTTAGGAAACAAGGGCAGGTAGACCAACCGATGAGAGAGGAATTTAAGGTGGGTTTGAGACTGTGGGTTTGAGACTTACTCAGGCAGGCTCGCGTGGGGGCACTCTTAGATCCCGAAGAAAGCCCCACAATCGTAAAACTAGTTCGAAATCGCCTCCCTTGGCTTGTACTCTCTTATTTCTGCAATCATACACATATGAAAAATATTACAAGACAGGTGGGTCAAGGGATCACACCTTGCCTTCAGGTGAACGTACACAGGTGTGCACATTCAAAAGATGAGAAGAATGAGAGGATCAAGATTGGGGTGAGAAGAATTTGATCGAGTGGTGAGAACGACACAATGACCTGACTAGTAGGTAATTGATCAGTTGTGGTAGTAAACAGGGTTTGGTAGCTCAGATCGACTCAACAAAATTACTATTAGATGGCTATACCAATACCGACTAGCTAGACGTAATGACATGTTTGTCATGGCAATAAATTGGCACAATAACTATGACCGGCACAACAACATTACAGTTAAATGATAGGACTCTCATTGAAGGCTAGTCTCAACCCTTCTTAATCAAACGAGAGAGTAAGAGAAAGAAGAGAGATCAAAGAGAGAAAGAAAAGAAGAGATAGAGATGAGGAAAGAGAAGAGAAGAAGATAAAAGAGAAGAAGAAACATAGTAGGATAGAAAACCATGATAGAAGAAGAAGAGAGAAAAGGGAAAGAAAGCAGGAGGAGGACACAAACGACGATGGCTTTCACTGACAGTGAAATAAAGAAAAAAGAGGGAGAAACCAGGCGGCGCTAGGCTTGCACCAGCTGTGACAGAAAGGAAGAAAGAAGGAGAACCCTTACGGTGCTAGGCTTGTAGTAGCTGTGACGTAAAAGTAGAAAGAGAGAGAACCCAGGCGGCGCTAGGCTTGCGTTGGCTGTGACAGGAGAGAAGAACGAGAGAGAACCCAGGCAGCGCTAGGCTTGCGTTGACTATGATAGAAAAGCAGAAAGGGGGAGAACCTAAGTGGTGCTAGGCTTGCGCCGGTTGTGACAGAAAAGAAGAAAGAGGGAGAACCCAGGTGGTGCTAGGCTTACGCCGGGTGTGACAGTAACGAATAAAGAGGGAGAAGTTAGGCGGCACTAGTCTTGTGCCGGTTGTGACAGAAAAGATGTAAGAGGGAGAACCCAGGCGGTGCTAAGCTTATGCCGACTGTGACAAAAGAGTAGAAAGAGAGAGAACCCAGGCGATGCTAAAGTTTCACTGTCTGAGACAGAAGAAAGGATAAAACTCAGGCAGAGCTGAGGTTTCACCCTCTTGGATAGAAGAAAGGAGAAAACTCAGGCAGCGCTAAGGGTTCGCCATCAGAGACAGAAGAAAGGAGAAAACTCAAGAGGTGCTGAGGTTTCATTGTCTGAGGCAAAAGTAAGGAGAAAACATAGGCAGAGCTGAGGTTTCACCGTCTGGGTTAGAAGGAGAGGGGAAAGGAGACACAGGCGGTGCTAATGCTTCACCGAATGAGTTAGAAGAGGACAAAAGAGATACAAAAGAAGAGAAAGAGATAGAGATGAGAAAAGAGAAGAGAGAAAGAGATAGAGGTGAGAGGGAAAGAGAGATAGAGATGAGAAAAGAGGAATGAGAAAGAGATAGAGGTGAGAGGGAAAAAGAGACAGAGACGAGAAAAATGGAGAGAGAAAGAGGGGAGGTGAGAGAAAAGTACCTTACCGAGGGGTATCGACCCTTTTCTTCTCTCCTCTCTCTCTCTCCAAGACACCCATGAATCCAAAGCAAGAATTGAGACTTTATTGATCAATGCGTAAAATGAACCCGCCTCCCTTTACAATTAGGCATTGCATGTTTATATAGATTTGGGCCCAAACATGGGTGGACACCCAAAAATTACTCAAAATTGAAAATAATTACAATCTAATTGAATTAAAAGAAAATATAAAAATGGGTACAAAAGGACTGTTTCGCGCCTGCCTAAGAATGTGTGGAATTTCAAAATAGTCCCTACTGCTGCCTGAGAACTTGCATGACTGATCCAGGGTTGCTCTAATGCTCATTTTATCAAAAGATGATTGTTTTCTTGTAGAGCTCGTCATGGTGATCTATTTGATACCAACTTCAAGCCATGAATCATGTTTTTAAGTCATGATCATGAGACTTGAATTTTGGATGAATATTGAAAACTTCGCATCAGTAGTACGCTCATTCCTTTATGTTTTTCTTATGTTTCTTTGTTGAATCGCACTGAGCATGCCATCACTATCATGTTGCAACAAATGCAGCTCGATTTCATGTCCGGATGAAGATTTCATCATCATGGGGTTTTTGTCGGATCTTTAAATCCAGCAGCTGAAATTTTTACAGCAGATTCGACACCTTACATACATAATGCGATTGGTTTCGTAGCGATTGGGTACGCAAGCGTCATGATTTGCTCGCTCGAATGAGGCGTGTTACTGCTGATTTTTCTGTAATTTTCTTCATAAGTAACTTATTTCTAGTTTTTCTCCTTGCTCGAGCATCGTCACAGGGCGTACCACATATCAAAACGTTCCTCTTGATGAGACGAACATGCTCACAAAATTTGAGCGCAATCTGAACTTGACCAAGTAAGATATAGGCCCCAAAATTCACTGCCTGTGAATGTTAAAACAACCAACTTTAATGGTGTTTTAGTGCAAATTGCCCACACATGAATAGTGTGCAGCCTATCCCTTTTCGATATTTTATGCATAACTTTGTCCTGGGTAACCAAATTAGACCGAAACTTGACCCTTAAAGGTTTTTGATCATGCAGGATCAAATGGTGGTGGTCTTACATTTGTTTGACGTACCAAAAATATAGTTTTAGTTATGTGGTCTATTTCAGGATCCTAAAGGTGGATTTTGCTGAAATTGTTTCTTTATGTTCACTGCCTTAGATTTGTTTCATTAAGATGAAACATGGCAGGTGACCTTTTGAAGTATTTATGAAGATCTTGACTTGTTTTGGGACCATTATGAAACTGTCAAAATTTCCACTGTATGTTGAGGCTTTATTGACCTACTTCCTCTTTATTCTATATCAAGGACTGAGGTGCTGAAAAATGTGTTCAAACTGCTTGCCCCGTTGAATGTTGTGCTTCGAGAGAAGTGAGAAGGACAACATTTGGAAAATTTCCTTCAGCTTTATTACTTCTTTCTTCCTAGCCACAAGACCATGTGAATGCCAAGGAGATTCACACAATGCTGCAACTAGAATGCTCAGATGTTTGGATACAATGTACATCTCCATCCGTGGAGACTTTAAGGGGAGAAGAGACTTTTTTTAGGAATCTTGTCGAAGTCCTCACGCTCAAGGAACTGTTACTGATTTTGAAGCTGAGGATTTTATACGAACCTTGTTCATCAGAATTAGCCCCGTCTGGCAATTGAGTGCCATGGTGAAGGGCATTGTTCCCATTTGGTCTGGGTTTCTTTGTCTTGCATACACAGCCAAAGAGCCTTTGATTGGTGATCATCTATGTTGTGTACCTCAGTTTATCGCGGTGACCAGCCTTGGGTATAACCCCTACCCATTGTTAGTAGTCTCGCGTAACTGGTTCAAAGTCATGGTTGATTTAACCTTCTTGGGGTGTCTTTGGTTTGTCGGAGTGACTTTCTTGTTTGTTTATTCTGGATGGTCTGCTGAAGATCCTTTGGTTGGTGCTCATCTGTGTCGTGCACCGGTTATTCCTTGGCATGTAGGGTACCTCAGTTTATCAAGGTGACCGGCTTTGGGTGTAACCCTACCCACTGTTATCAGTTTTGCGTAACAGGTCCAAAGTTGTGGCTGACTTAGCCTTCTTGGGGCGTCTCTGGCATG